TAATAATAATAATAATAATAATAATAATAATAATAATAATAATAGCAACCATTTCTTCTCTAGACCAGTTCTAAAACACTAAACCATATCATCATTTCTGCTATAGGTACAAACATGCACTAAAGAGGGCAAAGCACATGCCTTTTAATCTACCTATATACACTACTAAAACTCTCATGTCTGTTTGTAACTTTTAACTGGGCAAAATGGTGCATCATAGGCCAACAATTTTTGAACCAAGGTACCTCAAACCAGCTAACTTACAGAATGCATTCCAAACCCCGGTCCATGACTCCCATGGAACTGAAATTTGGCAAATTTTATAAAACATATTATGATATAAAAATGATCATAAAACATTTTATGACATAATACAAAATGTCATAAAACATTTCCTGTGGTCAACTCCTGATGTTTGACTGTACAGTTCAGTATGAATGACATGGGCTATTTTCAAGGTAGATACATCTCTGAATCTCCCCCTGAATTTTTAAGAACTTTTCCAGCGAAGGCAGTACACTAGAAGCTTTGCCATTACTGAAGACATTGAGGAAACTGATAAGGATGTATCTCTGAAAGGATGACCCAACAGGTCACAGGTTGTCTAGTTCTTTATTAAAAGTCTGGCAAGGATTTCCTCTCCTCAGCTTTGGTATCTAACAGCTGCATGGCAGTCAGAAATTCAATAGGTAAAGAACTCCTATTCTGATATTTCACCCATCATTACATTTCCCTGCTAGCAGAGGGATGATGGAAGACACTGAAATGATGTCAGACAGAATAAGTTGTATTTTTTCATCCACCTTCATTGTGAGGATGAGGCTTTCTTTCACATTAATTATAGGCTTGTAGGAGTCACTTTTTGGGCACAAGGACAATGTGGAATCCATGATCACCCAGAGTTGGTCAGTTGTGTAGGTTTCTCTCACACATTTGTCAACTTGTCTTATCTAGATCAGCTCAGATTAGTCATACAAGTGCTTCTACAAAAGAGAATAAACCTATGCAGAAGTGCTTTCATGCTGCTGGAAATGCTTGCAAAGAGTTATAAGAGGCTGATTATTTCATGTTCATTTACTTCATATGGCTTCCAAAAACATGTCATTAGTTATTATGAGGATATGCACTATGGAACCTATAAGGATGTTATTCCAGTTGAATTACCCTGGAATAAGGAAGGGTTAATTTTGCATATGCAATAGTTATCTGAAGGCAAAGGCAGAACCAATATTAAAATTAGGACTAGAATGATTTTTCCAGGGTGTTATTATGAACAAGGAAGAAGATAGAGTAAAAGATTTACATATATGATCTGAAAAGGCAGCCTTCAATTGACAATTTTGCTGTGAGTGGATTCACATGGCCAGGACATGCAGCAAGCACATGGTGAAATAATAATAGAAAGTACTATTTGGTGCTGCTACCAGTTGTAACAGCTACTAGTATTTACTAAGTTAATCAGAGGAGGGCAGAGCACCTGTACTTTTAAAATCAAGGGGTTTAGAAGATGCAAATTGCTTCTCTGGCTTGGCAAATCCCCCCTTTTAAACAGTTACCAAATGCACAGGAATCTTATTTTCCATTATGTCTGGTTTATCCCACCCTTTACTATTTATAGTTCTGCATTAATCCAACAGGTAAATACTCCCCACCATCCCAGTTTGAACATACATAGGAAACTGCGATGCATTGACTCCTGGAAAAACTTTCAGATAGGTTGTTCTTAGAATGCCTTAGAATGTCCCTGATCTGCGTATCTCAGAATCCCACCTGCCCGTTGGGAATATTCTTTCTCCCCACTGGAATTTCTGCCATCATACTTATAGAAGACAAGGATGCTCCATATTGGAAAGAAATCCATTAATCGTGATTTCTCCCATGAAGAGATGGAAGAAAACTTGCCTTATTTTTCTTCCATAACACCCACAGAGTTTATAAATTCAAGAATAGCTGCAAGTAAAAAATTCCATCTAGAAAAGGATGTTTCTACCAATAAAGTGCTGGGCCATATTTTGCACTTTTAAGAGCAGCCCAATATGCATAAATTGGCAGAAGAAGCATTTAAATAAATAAATAAATAAATAAAGTCATTGGAAGTTGGTGGCATACAAATTTAATAAATTGTTATCCTTATTTTCATCTGCTAATTGCAACTAATCCATTTGCCAAAGACACTTTAAAAGTTGGCGCTCTTTGTAAGTTTGTAATTTACAAATGTAACTTTTTTCAGTGATGTACTAAGAACCACTGTATTAAAGTATCTGATATATCTATTAAAAAGCTTGATATTTTTAACACAAATAATACTTCCAAAGCAGTGGAAAATGTCAAAATCCACTTTAGGCAATATATTTATTAGTTCAACAAAAATATCTAAGAAATATGCACATTTTCAGACCGTTTTGTCAGCCAAAACGTTACAAAAAACAAGAGGAGGGGAAGGCTGAAAATTCTGAAGTCTGCATAGGCAGTGTCTTAAGGTGGAGTTTGTAGGAGAGCACAATAATTCAGATTAAACTCTCTGTTTCTGTGGTGATTTTAGGTTGCACTCTGCACTGCCCTAAGACTGCTGGTCTACAGAAACTTGCAATCAATGGCTGACCCTTCATGTTTGAAAATATAGAAACAAAATGTTCTTCAACCACATCTTCATCCTCGGAAAAGCACACAGACTTTCTGATAGGTAGAAAATGGATGTAGACCTATGACTAACTTCCTTGTAAACTAAAAATTAAACATAAAAATTGGCAACCCACAGTCTTTAAATGTCTACAGTGGAATTAATACAGCATAAAAAATTCTGCTTCTCACAATGATAGCAAACTTCTGCATCCTCAGGCCCTAAGATAAGATTAAAACAATTCAGTTCCCCCAAATATGGGCAAAATCTATAATGCAGATGCCATTATCTAATAATAAAAGTCTTG